GAGAATGGCACATGGGGGCAGTGGAGAGGGCACACATTGTGATGGCCCATGGGGGCAGTGGAGGGGGCAGAGGGGTGGTGGAGGGGTGGCATGGGGCGATCGGGGGCCATGGGAGCAGTGGAGGAGGAGTGGGGGCAGTAGAGGGCTGTAAGGGCAGTGGATGGCACGTGGGGGCAGTGGAGAAGGCATGGGGTGGTGGAAGGGGTATGGAGGTGTTGGAGGAATGGAATAGGGGTGATGGGGGGGCCCATGGAGGCAGTGGAGGAGACATGGGGGTGGTGGAGGAGTGGCATAGGGGTGATGGGGGGCCCATGGAGGCAGTGAAGGAGGCATGGGGGTGGTGGAGGGGGCATGGGGCGGTGGACGGGTGGCATAGGGGTGATGGGGGGCCCATGGAGGCAGTGGAGGGGATGTGGGGGCGGTGGAGGGGCAGTAGATGGCGGTAGGGTGGTGGAGGCACCATAGGGGCAGTGGAGGGACTGAAGGGGTGACATAGGGGGCATAGAGGCAGTGAATGGCACATGGGGTGGTTGTTGGTGGATGCCCCATGTCCCCCTCCCCCTCTCCTCACAGGACACGTGTGCCCGTTGCTACCGCGGCCAACTGGCCTCCATCCACAGCAGCTTGATCAACCAACGCCTGAGCTGCATGGTGCGTACCCGCACCAACCGGAGCCAGGTGTGGATCGGGGGCTACACCTCTGGCTGGGTAAGGAGAGTGTCTGGCCCAGGGCCGGCTCCAGGCACCAGCTTGGCAAGCGGGTGCTTGGGGCGGCCACTCCGGAAAGGGACGGCAGGTCCAGCTATTCGGCGGCAATTCGGCGGATGGTCCCTCTCTCCCAGCGAAGGACCTCCCGCCGAATTGCCTCCACAGATCGTGATCACGGCTTTTTTTTTTTGGCTGCTTGGGGCGGCCAAAACCATGGAGCTGGCCCTGGTCTGGCCCTGCTGGCCCCGTTCCCCCACTGCCTGGGCCTGGCCCAGAACCCCCCCCTCCCCCGACTCCCTCATCAGGGCCCTGCCAGCTCTGAGGCTGGCCTCCCCTCCAGTGCAGAGCGGACAGCGGGATCCATCCCCCGCTGCGGCTCAGTGTGTCCCCAACCGGGACCCTGCTCAGGGCTGCCCCAGACCACCCCCCCGCTTGCCCCCTGGGAGGTGGGCCTGGGTGTCTCAGGTGTGGGTCCAGCTGACCCCGGATGGCTGGGAGTCTTCTTGGGCCCCGTTGCCAGGGCAGAGGCTGGTGCCAGCACGTGCTGGGCGCATCCTGCCCTAGGGCCTGACCCCCATCCCAGCGAATCCAGAGCCCCTTGCTATGCTCCCCAGCCACCACCCGGTTCCAGTGCACGAACGGCTCCTGGCCCCAGCCCAAGCGATGGCCCCGGCCCCTCAGAGGTGGGGGTAGGAGGTTCCCCGATGTACCCTGCAGATGGGTCAGAACTGATCCTAACCCAGCCCCTTCCCTCAAAGCACCACTGTCTGCGCGCCTACTGGGTCGACCGCAGTTCCTGGAACTACTCCAACTGGGCCAGAGGGAACCCCTGCCGCACTGGGAAAACGTGTGTCGCCATGTGCCCTTCAGGTGAGGAGCCCCCCAGCCGGGGGGCGGGGACAGGGCAGAGATGGGGATCTATTCACTGCTTGAGGGAACAAGAGCCCTGGAGCAGGGGAACCGGGGACCTGTGGGCAGGGGATCTGGGGTTCATGGGGTCC